GTTTTCAAAGCTCAACATGCACATTCATATTTTTCTAACAGAAATATTTTAACATAAAATACCTGTAAACATGAAAAAGCTTTTTAGGAACTATAAAGCATGTGAAAGCTGTAATATAATAAAGCTTTAATGATGAGCTAAAAACAAAACATCTGTCTTCACCTTCTCTCCACCTGGATGATAACAAAGTGTTTCAGCGCCTGGAGAATCGACGGCCATTAAAATCCTCCTTCGGTGACGTCACTGAGGTTTTATGGCCTGATCGAGCCGCCCTCAATGTTCAGAGAATTACAGCAGAAAGATTTCATTGTTACTCACTTCTTAAGAAGCATAAACAGCTTCTACTTCACTTTACTTCACTTTACTTCACTTTACATCCCTTTACGTCACTTCACTTTCCTTCACTTTACTTCACTTTACTTCACTTTACATCACTTTATTTCACTTTACTTCACTTTACATCCCTTTACGTCACTTCACTTTCCTTCACTTTACTTCACTTTACTTCACTTTACATCACTTTATTTCACTTTACTTCACTTTACATCCCTTTACGTCACTTCACTTTCCTTCACTTTACTTCACTTTACTTCACTTTACATCACTTTATTTCACTTTACTTCACTTTACATCCCTTTACGTCACTTCACTTTCCTTCACTTTACTTCACTTTACTTCACTTTACTTGAGGCTGAACACAAACTCCACCAACGCGTCTGGAACATGGAGGTGAAGGTTTAATAACAATAAAAAACAGGAAGTGCTGCCAGTAATAAAAGCAGAGTCACAGTTGAGTTCAGACACAAGCAGGTGAATAACTGGAGTCAACGGTAAAAACACCCAAACTTTAAAAATAAAAAATAAAACAAAATGTTTTACTCTTTACTCCATTTACATTTACATAAGTACCATTACTACTGTTTCTATGACTACTACTGCTGCTTCTACTACTACTACTCGTAGTAGTACTATTACTCCTACAATTACTATTACTACTTTTACTAATGCAAGTACTACTGCTTCTATTACTACTACAACAAGTACTATGACTAGTACAACTACCACAAGTACTATTACTACTACAAGTATCATTACTACTTCTGCTTCAAGGACTGTCAATACTTCTACTGCTACTACTATTACTTGTACTACTATTTAGTAATAGTAGTACAATTACTATTATTATTACTTCTATTACTACTATTTCTACAGCCACTAGTACCACCATGGCCAGCATTACTACTAGTACTTATGTTAAAATGCAGTGTGAAAGGTTAGAGGTGTATTACTTTGCTGAAATAAGCTAAAGAAGCTGAAAACAAGTTAAAGCTAAACTCAAAGGCAACGAAAGCTGAGTGGCACCTAGAAAACGAAAGGCAGCTACAATCTAAAAGAAGGAGATGGTAGCTARAGATAWATATYTTCAAACCAAACTAATAGAACCAGGACTAAAAGCTATAGAAGTGATAAAAGTGGCCAAAATGAGTTTTGTTTGTAGGGCGGGTGGTCTCAGCCTCAGAGAGCAGAGCTGCTGCTCCTCTGCATCGAAAGGAGTCAGCTGAGGTGGCTCGTCTGATCAGGACACCTCCCTTTGGAGGTGTTCTGGGTAAAGATGGAAAGACAAACAATAAACAAGTTTGCTAAGTTAGATTTGTGAAAGAACAATGTTTTGAAAGAATAAAAGAGATCTCCATGTTTTTGTGTTGTTTTAATGACAAATAGTTGTTTAATGGTCAAAATTATTATTATTCCAGTGAGAATGCTGATTTACAATTCAGATTWTATTTTTGTTTACAAAAAGACAAAAAAATAATTGGAATAAAAAGTATAAACTCAGATGTTTTCTTTTTAAATCAAAWAGCAGAAAGGATCTCTGCTGTGGAAGTGAAGCTCTTCAGTGTTGTTATCTCSTCACAGTAAGTCTGCCTTTGTTGTTGTAAAATAATAAAYCTGTCTAGGAGTTTTTTCTGGCCTGGTTTTCAGGGTTACACATCAGCACACACATATACACAGGGCACGCCTTAAAGCTGCAGAAAACACACACATTTTAGTGTTTTAAAGCAAAAGGCTTTAGATTACAGGTAYAATAAAAGAGCCTCAGGTGTGTGTGAATATCTYMGTTTGAATGTGTGACCAGCCTGGAATTTTTTTCTGTCTGCCTCTTTTTTGTCTTAACAGGCTGCAGGTTTCACCAGCATGCTCATTCACCACACCTCTGCACAAAGGCAGCTGTTGGTGAAGAAAAACCTTTTTTTAAATCATCCTCTGCTCTGTCTTCACATCCAATCAGCACTCATTTCTGCAGAACTGTCCAGTTCTTACTCTGCACTCTGCTGCCTTCTGCTGGATTCATCTGAATACTGAGACAATAACTCAGATTGTGTCACATGACCAGGGGTGAGGCAATGTCAGAGAAACTATGAGCTGGCAGAAATCATGACAACAGCATTGTTTAGTATGACAGCAGTCAGTGWGGAGGACCTGTGAGAGAGTTCCTTACACTTAGGCTGCAGTTGTCTTGTACTAAATGATCTCCTACCATGTGAAATTCACTTTTTATCCGTCAAATATAGTGGATTATGGCAAACCAAATGTATTTGCTGTTTTTTATAGTCGCCCCCATTTAACTGATTAAATGCTAAACTAGTAGCAGAAGAAAGCAGCAAAACTTCCTTTCATTAAAAGTTTTTGTGCAGCTCCCTCTGCTGGTTCACATGGAGCACAGCAAGAGTCAAAATACAAAACTTGGCTTTACTTAATCACATTTGTCCTTGAACCCATCTTATTCTTTGTTACTGTGAATTAATCCACAAATACTTCTGTGTTTAACAGTTAATAGAAACATGATACGCAATTTTGCTTGCCACCTATGTTAAAAACACATAATTGTCCTCACTCTGCTGCAAAATCAAGTATACACACATGTGCGCACGCGCACACACACACCAGCCAGTCAATATTCAATAATCATATAATAGGTGACCTGACAGGTAAAAAGCAGTGAGTTTCTACAAAACAAATGCAGTAATATAAGCTTACTAGTAATCTTGCCTGGCTTAGTAAGCTTGCTAACAGAGTACTAACATTACTACTAACATTATTTTGTAGTTAGCTATTTAGTGTCTACTTTCACAGAAAAATCATGGAGTTGATAAATGAATCTTTAAATCTGTCATTTCCCTTCATGGGATCAATAAAGTATCATTCAGTTCAATAATCCTCACATGTATTCTGCTGTGTCAAACTAACCTCCTGGTGGTAAAACTGCAGACATCAGATGTGTAAGTGGGACAGAAAATGTATCCTGACAGTCACAGTTGGTAAGAATCAAAAGCTCCCAAAGCAAATCCTTGAGATTCTGTAGGAAAAGTTTGGGCTCATTTTTGACCCCACTTATGAAAAAGTGGGGTAGTGACACAAAAACTGCAATTTCTTAAAATGTATGTGTTGTGGAATACTGATTATGTATCACCTGGACACTGTCCACTCGTTCCTGTTCCTGTTACTGTTCCTGTTCCTGTTCCTGT